CCCTCTGCGACACGCAAACTCAAAACCCTAGTCGTGCAGCAGAGAGCTGTCAAGAGAGTTGATTGAGAAAAACCCTAGCACAAACGATAGACAGACTATGTTAACCTAAACCAACATACGTTTTCTTGCTCTACACCCTCAAATATGAGATTTTTCATATTATACCTCTAATATATTAAAAATATTACAATATGACCATTCTGTTGATTTTCATTGCTTATTTCGTCGAAACTCATCTTATTAATGTCGACAAAAATGAGTAGCATAAATTATTGAAAGAGTCATATTACAATACTTTTAACACATTCTCAATGTAACAAATTTAATTTTTGAGGATGTAATATAAAAAATTTAATCTTTAAAAATATAAATTAAAAATTTTTAAATCTTTCAAGGTATAAAATATAATTTATCCTTATACTTTTCAAGGTAAATATTGATATTATATTTAATTGTCCTAATGTAATTTCTCAATTAACAATTTGATCTCAATTTAGTTTTTTCATTCATTTCTACAAAACGTAAACATATGATTTAACACTTTAATTGATCAAATTGGCTAATCTAGTTGATTTAACGGTGAAAATAGATGGAATAACTTAATTGAGATAAAATTAATAATTAAGGAACTAAATTATAATAATTAAAAGTTCAAAGATCAAATAAAAATTAAAGATAAACTTTAAGGACCAATGATAATATTTACCTTATTTTTTAACTTGGGTAGAACATTTTCAACCTTCACTCAAATTTGAGGCAATATTTGAATAAAAAATTTGATTTAATATAAAACACTTCAATGAAAAAACTCAAATTTAAAAAAGGATAAACCCAAATTTAATGGAGCATAAAATATAACCATTAAATTTTTAAAGGATAATATGATCTAACCATTAATGATTTGAGTAAAGGTTTAAATCTTTTTTTATTTAAATAAAATTTTGAATTGGTATGAGTTTGAGTATAGCATTAAAAAAAAATTAAAATTTTCTTACCAAACATTTAAATTTAAGTTTAAAAAATAAATAAAACTTAGAAATATTCGTGTATTAAACGATTATATCGGTCCAGGGGCGGCCCAATCTAATTTGGGGCTTTAGGCGAAAATGTAATACAAGACCCTATAAATATTTATTCAGTAATAATAGTAATATTAAATATTCATTAAAATATGTTTATTTACAAATTATTTGTTTTGCCTTTTGAGATATAACATACTAATTCAAATTTTTAATTCAATTTTTACAAATAAAAAGTATGTTAATTGAATTCAAATACAGAGATCAAATACAATAATACATACTATTTGTTTAAAATAAAAGAGAAACATAATTGAAAATTAGGTTTACTAGTAAAATAATTTTTTTATAAATGTATATAAAAATAGGAATTTATACAAGTTGAATAGCCCTAAAATAAATGGGATATTGTTAGATATCATAGAGAGAAAGAGCAATTTTTAAATAAAAAATTTTAGTAAGACAACTATAGTTAATTAATTTAAAATAGCTAGTGTATTACTTGAGACTCTATTTTATAGTCATTTTGTGCATTATAAACAAAGTTATTAAAAAATAACCTCAAATTTAACGTACACAAATATAAAATTATTATTCGTACATATAATATAAATATCGGGTGAGATAAAAAAATAAACTGAATTTTAGGGCCCTAAATTTTTTTAGGATTCTAAAATTTTTACAATAATTCTAGTTGTACTTAATTAGAGGACTAAGTATATTTGATAAAATAGTGAATTTTGTTTAAACTTAATACTCACTATTAATTCAATAATTAAAATATATTAAATATTTAAATTATATTCTAAAATAATCATTATTTATTTTATTTTGGGGTTCTAAATTTTTCTTTCAATTTGAGGGCTAGGCAATGACATAAGTGGCCTAATGGTTGGGCCGGCACCGTATCGGTCTACAGACAAGCTTGGTGGTGCGTGACATTGTTGGAATGGTCAAATCATTAAATGTACTTATACTTTAAGTTTATTATTTTTAAGGTCATCGATTATAATAAACTTAATAAAATTTATAGTTAGAATTTATATTTTTAATATGATATTGAAAAATTACTTACCTAGAAAAATAAGTGTTGGACTACAACTTACTGAAAAAATTACTTACCTAGAAAAATATTTTATAGAACAATATGAATTTTAATTAGGACTAGTGGTTATTGCAAATTCTGACCCAGGTATCAGGTAAGGTAGACTTTAGATCACATAGAATGAGAGCGAAAGCAAGAGTAACAAATTTTAAAATTAATTGAAAAGCAAGAACGTCAGTGTCAAATTTATATATATAATATTGTGATACACATTAAAATAGAGAATATCAAAATCGTAACAAACAATGGCATAATACAGTAAAGCCTTACATTAGTAATAAGAAAATGTCCCACATCGATAAAGTCTTGCATGTTGAATGGCCTGGCAATCTATATAAGCAATGTCAGAACACAATTGTCCCACATCGGAAGAATATAAGCAAGCTTAATGGCAAGTACAAGAGCACAATTGTAAGCTACTTTGGCAAAGAAATGGGCTTGTTTTTTGGGTCAAGTTCAATTGGGTATGAAAAAAAGTTTTTTGGGCAAAGGTTAAATTTGTGGATTCAATTTTTTGAATTTGCGAATTTGCGCCGAATTTACGCTCAATTTGTAGATTTGCAATCGAAACGCAATTCATTGAGGTGTTTAAGCGAATCATGTGATTTATGGTAGACTATAGTATCAAATACATGGTCCGAGTTCTAATTATTTTAATAAAAATTTACATAAATTTTAATTATTTCAATATAATTTATAATTATAAATTTGATCCCCAAATATTAATAAATTTTTTAATTTTAATATTATAAAAATTATATTAAAATTCGCTCATCTACAATTTCTTATGTATTTCAATTATGCATTTGCTCCAAACGCAATAATTGATAGGTAATCATGGAATTTGCAGCATCTAAAATCCGATATGACATGCTAAAAAATTGAGTCAATTACCGCACACGACTTTCATATCTAGTTTATCTTGGTGACATGGTAAGTGTTATATATAATATAAAATAAGGGAAGTTTCAATAAGTTCATTCGACGGTCTCAAATAGATGAGTAATACTATTTGGATATAAAAATTTGATTTAATTTACTGACATAATAATATGGCTTCATAAGAATCATTAGATCAACACCAAATTCCAATGTTTACTGGGGTATACAGTGAATCTAAATGTCATAGTAAATTAGGTCAGCAAATTATGTTCCAATAACATTGCTCTAAATAGATTCATCAAACGGTCGTCAATATCCCTTCCAAAACCATTCACATTGCACCGTACTTTCAGACACGAATTTTTCCTAGTTTAATATAAATTCAAACTCATATTGATCAATCACACCTCATAAGATTATAATCACATCCTGTATGATCACAATTTACACCTTACAAAATATGTCTCACATGCATTTTATATATATATCAATCAATTCCAAAATAATTATCTCAAAACATAGGCTAGAGAGCAAGCTCTAAAAGTAATTTAACATTTAACAAAAAAATAACCAACATCGATAAAAATTTAAGACAACGAAATCAAACTATATGTAAAAAAAAATTTAAAAATAAAAACATATTAGATACTACTTCGTACCTAAAAAATTTTCAATTAAAATTACTAAAAACTATATCCGAATCTATAAACAATTCAAATTAAAATCACCTTTTAATTTTTGATCTATCAAAACTTCACTTTTTTTCCACATTATCTCTTTTTCTTGCCTTTAGATGACACATTTGTTTAGCTTTTAGATAGTGGGATGACAACACCACTTGTACAATGACCAAGATACTTGTTGCCTAAGTTTGCTTAATTTCGATTGCAAACAACATTACTCAATTGACTTTAAAGTGCCCCAATGCATGACACAACACCTTCACCTATAATGAACACTTTTCTCCCCTTTCTCATTTATCTTTTATTTATTTTGTTCCTAGTTCTTATCTTCTACTTTTTTAGAAATTAAACCCAAACAAACTTGTAAATTATCAATGAACCCCAAAAGTTTATTCCACTAATTAAAATCACATATTATTTTTTTGGTTGGATATCACATTGACAGCCTGTTGCCCAACCGGCTACCCACAACTTTGCACGTGCTAAGGAATTAGGCGTGGTTAGAATTTAAGATTCCTCTTTTAAGTGCATTTGATTTGTTTAAATTTTTGTATACTTAATGGAGTGTAAATTGTCATTGTTATGGTAGGACTTTGTAAATTAAAAAAGAATGGAGAAATCTCACTTTGTATCCTAAAAGATTTACAATTTTTTATTTTACGTCCTAAAAAATTTAATTTTTTATATTATACCCTTAATGTATAAAAATATTATAATATGATCCTTCTGTTAGTTTTTATTACTTATTCTATCAAAAATCACCATATTGTCTTTTGATAGAATGAGTAACATAAACTAAAAAAATTATTACATTATAATATTTTTAATGCATAAAGGGAAAATATGAAAAATTTAGTCTTAAAGACTCTAAAATTTAAATTTTTTAGGGTATAAAGTGTAATTCTCTCTTTTATTGGGTGAGGCTAGGGGGACAAGGCTGTATTGGTAATTTTACCAGATGACTCCCCAAATTCGGAACACTTCAACTACTGGGTACTTTCGATTGGATCCACGACCTCTGTACATCACAACCGATTGTACCTAGTCTGTTTGTATCCTTCCTCGTACTTTCATTTGGCTTTGTTAGTCAAAAACGGACGTCTCGCAATAGTAACATCAACAGGCAAGCAAGCAGGGTCCATGGTAAGTACTGTAAGACGACTCTCTCTCCCTCCTCTCCGCATCTAAATATGATGTTCTGCTCCATGTTCGACGAAGCCAATGTAAGACACATCGACTAAATCTGAGAAATTTTATTGGTTCGTAGCTCAATAAATCTGAACAATCAGCAAAAACCTTACGTTTGAAGACATGAGTTTACCAGTATGTTGACTTCCTCTGATTCAGATCCTTCTTTTCTTTTGTCTGCTGTCAGCTATCAGAATCTTTCTTTGTATACTTGACTGTTTCATTATTTTATATCCAAATTTTCATTTTTTTTGGGTTTCTATTTGTTAGATTTTTGGTGTAATGGGGGGTTTATGGTGCAGATTATTTGTTTTCTGGATCTTATATATGTTCATCTGTTTGTTCTTCATGTGATGGGAAGTTGGTTAATTTCTCCTTTTGTTGATTGTTTTTCTAAAAGATTTGATGTTGATATAATTGTATTTGTGGTTGTCGTTTTTCTATAATTGATAGATACTCTGTGGAGGAATTTCCTTAAATCTGCTATGAACCCATTTGTATGGGTGCCCAAGAGTTCATATACATATATCTAGTCTTATTTTTAACGATATAGAATCGTCTTTGAATCTCGGCTCAATTCAAGGTGCCACAATCTAAAATTTTAATTATGTAGGATCTGATGGTATGAACTTTACAATTTTAGTAATTGCTTTTGTTGGTGTCTGTTTTATGAACTGATAGAGACTTTGTTGACGAATTTCTTAGTGTCTCAGCTCTACTCAACATGTCATAACTTAAAAATTTTTAAGTCTTGCGTTTTTAATAATATGAAGGGCATCTGAAACGAGTCAAGATTGTTCTATACGTATAATGTCAAATTGTCTTTGTAGACTTAGAAGCACTGCCTATTAAATGTTTGAGATGTATTAGCACAAAGTGTCTGAATTTATTTCTAATATTGGATATATAGTGTTGGACATGTTCCTAGGAGTGTCTTATAGGTGTCACCGTTTGGCACGTGTCCCCTATAGACCTGTCTCCTCTCTCTAAGTGTCGTTGCTACTCAGACCAATGCTAGCCTATTCCTGAAGATCACAATGAATTAGTTGCAAAAAGAAAACCTATTTGTTTGAAACATAAAGAAGAACATTGTTTTCCCTGACAACTGTTGCATATCTAGCTAGATGAATACTTCCATAAAACTCTGAACTTTGACAAGAATGATAGAGGACTATATATGTGACTATTGGTATATTAGATCTCTTAACTTACCTAAAAAAAGTATCTGTGACTATTAATTACTTGGTTGTGCTGCCATTTTTAACATTAGTGCTTTGTCTTTATGACGTTGGTAGTGACATGGAGTACAGTTTATGCTGCTTTACACTTGAGGATTAATGTCCCCTGAGATTTCACACCAAAGAATTTATATCACTTTGGACTGATACCATCAGAAGCCAGTTTAGGGAATTCTAGAATCTACCAAGTATAAAGGGGAAAATTTAATCTCATAATCAGTGGGCAGAACATTTCATACATATTTCTCTGCTTAATTTAGCCCTAAATTCCATGATGTTGTGTTCTGTCAATTTTTATGTTGTTTAAGAATTGGTGTTCGTTCGTACCTCATTCCTTTGCCCTTATTCTTTTGAATTACTACCTCTAATTTTTTGTCTTATGTATCTCTCTGTATAAATATTCTTGAATGGAAGGCTAATAGTGAAGATGGCCTGCAAAGCAAGAGTCAAAAAGACATGATGTCGACTCTGAGCCTGTCTGATAAACAAGACGGACAGGGAAGCGATGATAGGTGTAATAAAGTTAGAGTCCAGCTCAAGAATTTGGGTTTCATGCAAGAGAAGGACCCAAACAAAAACACATCAAAGGTATAATAATCTGTTGCTTCGTCATCAGATTTGGTACAAGAAATAGGAAAAATTCATTAGAGTTATGTAAAGTAGTCACACCGCCTTTTGACCTGCTGTTGAAAGGCTATGATGAAAGTCCAGATAGGAAGTCTAAGCCACCAATGATGTTTCTATTAACATATGTTTTACTGAATTTTTCAGAAGAAAGGCACAGATTGATAAAGAGTGTGAGGAAAAAAACGTGAAACCATTTTCTCAGGATGGACAACATGATGACTCAACATCCATCTGTGATCCTTCTATGAAGCATATGGCAGAAGAAAACGAGAAGCGTGAAAATAAGTTGCAGCAAGCAGTAGAAGGATCTTTCATTTCGGGTAAAAACACCCAACCTGGAAGCCAAAGAAACAGGAAACATCCCTCTTTCGATTCGGATGTAATCAACCATGTTTCTTTAGTTGTTGCTAGCCAAGCGGACAACTTGGTGAAGGTTCCACATGCTACACCTCAGAGAGCCTTAGTAGTTTGTTCAGGGAGAAAACTTCTCATTCTTGATGTAAATGGAGTACTTGCGGATATAGTTTCTCCCCCACCAAAGGAGTTTAAAGCAGACATTTATATCTCAACGAGGGCAAGTGAGAATTGGATATTACATTTTATTTGTTCCAATTGACGATTAAACAGCATTTAGCGATAGGCAGGAATAATTAATGGCTCAAGCCTAACCTAATCATTGTTTCCTGTTACAGTTTTCAAGAGACCGTTCTGTTTTGATTTCTTGAAGTTTTGCTTTGACAGATTTGATGTGAGCATCTGGTCTTCAAGAACTAAGTAATATTCAATCTATGAGTGTGACTTTTCCTTTGTTTTTCCTGCCATGTTGAATTAGGTCCTAGAAATAACTTGTACTCTGTAATTTTCCTGGTTCCTGCCTGTTTGTTTCATGATTTTATAACCACGGAGTGTGTGGGTTACATACAAAATGCAGGAAAAATATTGATAGTGTGGTTGATTACTTGTTAGGAGATATGAAGCAGAAGTTGCTGTTTTGTTGGGTAAGTGATTTAAAGTTTTTTTCGGTTGAGGTTTCATGAAAGGCTAATTCATCTCTGCCCATTCACAAAAGAATGCTTCTGGAGGAAAAAAACAGCAAATTGTTTAAAGATTTTCTCTTGGTTTTAAATTGGTACTATTTACCCATACCATTTTCTTGTGGATTGCATATTTAACTGATCTGACTTGATGGTACATACAGTCATAGTGAAGTTTGTTACATTAGTTGATGCTTTAAGTACACCTCAATTTGCCTGGGCATGAAGTTTTTGAGCCACTTTATATATATATGTGTGTGTGTGATAGAAACATAATTTTAGTGCTAGCACATTTTTCAAGTTAGGAGTTGTTAATACTAATACAATTCTCAATTTATGAGTTGTTAGTTTTTTCAAATAAGTTTTGATTAAATATATAACTATTAAGAGTCTTTTGGACAATGGAGATCAAAATGGACTTATCCCCAAACAAGTTTTTTGAGTATACTTAAGTCCAAATAAGTCTACAAAAACTGCCAGCCTCCAAAGGCCCCTATTTTAAAACCCAGCCCAGACATCAACCCACAAAAGGATTAGATCAATGGGGCACTGGTTTAACCGTTAGATCACTGATCGGACCGGCAATATAATAAAAAATAAAAAATAATATAAATTATAATAAATAAGCTAAAAATCACAATAATTATAAAAATAGCATCAAACATATAAAGTTAAGTAGAGAAAAATCACCAAACATGTATCCAAAATTCCAAATTCCAATGCATTCAATTTCCAATACAACTTATAAAGTTAAGTAGAGAAAAATACCTCCATTTAAGTTCTAGACCCCAATTCCAAGACTCCGACTATGCATCAATCCATGCAGAATCCATGTAATTTGCACCCTTCAACAAAGTTCAAACTCAAACTGTAGTAAGCACAAGACACATGAAAACAAAACGAAGCACATGAGCATAGCATAAGGACTCAAATAAATAAAACTCAAAATAAATTACCTAACCACTGCCTACTACCACGATTATAAAATAAATAATTTACAACCCAATTATGTTATAATGAACAACAAACAAGAATCCTCAAATTAATGCTCTTAACTATAAAAAGCAAAATAAACTGTAATCACAGGTAGTAAATAAACCATAAGCAATCTAAAAACAATATGCAAAATAAAATTGCCCTAATCTACTCATTGGTTGTAAATAATGCAAAATAAACCATAAGCAACATTTTAGAGAGTACCTTGATTCTATAAACCATAAGCAACTTGATTCTATGTACTTAACTACTTATAATTGCATGTTTGCTCATAGCATTATCAAAGATTCAATGTATAAAAATCAAAAATCAAAAATCAAAAATCAAAATCAGCAAATTAGGGCATGTAGCAGTTAGGGCATGAGAGAGAGAGAGAGAGAGAGAGAGAGAGAGCACGTAGTGTACCTGCTGCTGTCAATGGTCATCGATGCTTCGATCAGTTGATGAGATGGAGCTTTGAAGCAGCCTTCGTCCCTTGCTTGCTCGCAACGGCGCAGAGAGAGAACTGAGACTGAGACACTGAAACTCAGAGACAGAGACAGAGACAGAGTCACTCAGGTTGACTGGGCTGAGAAGATCGTCGATAGTCACAAAAAGGCAGACTAAACCCTCCGGCTGGTTTGCTTAAAATCATCCGACTAAACGGTTCATCGGGTTTTAATCGGTTCCCGCGTAAATACGATCTAATGAGTGAGTTGGCCCGATTTAAGCACTATTATGTTGGGTTAATGTTTCAAGTTGTTTAAAAGAGAAATAAAAGTGTTTTGTTATGGAGAGTATTTTAATAATGACAAAATTACTCATAATTGCAATCACATGTAAGGCACATTAAATTATTCCATGCATGATTTAAACAAAAATTAGTGTAAAGTATCATCGGTCAAATGTGTCAACTTTGAGAACTAGATTAACAAAATTAAAATATTAAAGGCTAAAGTTTAACAAGTGATACATTTTAAGGACTATTGGTATAATTTACCCAATTGAGAAGAGTTTGTCCCCCAACAAAGTTTTCTTTTGTGCCCAATATAAAAGACTGTGCTTTTTTTTTTCAGCCTTCTTAACTTTTTAAAATAATAAACCCACCCCCATCGTATCCATAAAGTGTCTCATACGTGTCCTTGTCATATCCACCATGTATCCTTGTCATATTTAACCCTTGTTTAGCACACTTTTAGAAGTGTTAGATATTTGTCCAATCGTGTCACATTTGCATCTGTGTCCACCATGTCAACCCCCGACCCGTGCCATATTTTGAAAAGCACGCCTAGGTGAAAAGTGACCCCAAGCAAGCATAGGTCACCTAGAAGAGTCCAGGTGAAGTGAACTTCAAAGAGGCGAAATGAACTTCAAAGAGGCGCAACCCAGGTGAAGAGGCAAGCGCCTCAATGAAGTGATTCAATCTACTCTTTGAAACCAAAGAACATAAAATTGAGTTCTAAAACTTCAAACTATGTTTTTTATAGGCTATTCGAGTAACAGTGCTACAAATAGGTTTCTAGTGCTTAGAAATGGGCATAATATTTTTGAACCTATCACAATGCAAAAAATCCTAGATTTTTTGAAAATATTTTTTCAATGAAAAATAGGTTATCAAATAAAAGAAAATTAATTCCTATCAGTAATGAACTCAAAGATGATCTTTCTAGTGAAAAAGTACATGAACATAAAAAGAGTAAAAAAGTAAGGAAAGAGACTAACTTAGGATATTGGTCTTTTTTAAATTTTTAATTGATAATGACCCACAAACATATGAGGAAGCTATTACATCACACGATGCCCCTTTTTAGAAAGAAGTGATTAAAGACAAGTTAGACTATCATTCCTAATCATACGTGAAAATTAATAGAATTACGTCTTGGTGCAAAACCTATTGGGTGCAACGGATTTTTAAAAGGAAATTAAAACTTAAGGCACAATTGATAAATACAAAGCCCAATTATTCGCCAAATGTTATAAGCAAAAGGAAAGATGTTGATTATTTTGATATTTATTCACCGGTTACAAGAATAGCATCTATTAGAATTTTAATTGTTATAACTTCTATGTATAAGGTTAGCAATTCATCAAATGGATGTGAAAACGGTGTTCTTGAATGGAGACTTCGAAGAGAAAATTTATATGGAATAATCGGAAGGATCTATTGTACTAGGTAAGGAACACTTAGTATATAGGTTAATTAAATCATTATATGGTTTAAAGCAAGCACCAAAACAATGGCACAAGAAACTTGATAGTGTGTTAGTGTCAAATGGCTTTCAATTAATGTTGATAAATGCATATATTATAAGTTTGTGGTAATTCTAGTGTTATTATTTACTTGTACATTGATGATACGCTAATAATGGACATAAGTCTAGAGGTTTTTACTAATAGTAAAAGGTTCTTGATGTCTAAATTGAACATGGAAGATCTGGGAGAGACAAATATGATTTTAGGAATTAAGATTTTGAGAACTCCTAATGGTTTGATTTATCTCAAGGACAATATGTGGATAAGATGCTTAGAAAGTTTAATCATTTGGATCATAAGTCAATTTCTACACTTATGATGCTAGTGTTAAACTAAAGAACAATAAAGCTAATCCCATATGTGAAAATGATTATGCACAAATAAGGGCAAATTTCACTTTGTACCCTGAAAGATTGCTAAATTTTCACTTTGTACCCTCATAGATAAAAATTCTCATATTGCACCCTGAAAGAAATAAAAGGTAGCAATTAGGTCCAACAACTAACTGCCGTTGAGTTTACCGTCTGCTTTTGATCACATGCAAAACACGTGATAACATAGAAGGGTAAGGTTGTAAAACAACCATTTTGGCCCTCAAATATTGCACAATGGTTGCCTTATACACTTAAGACCTAAAACGCTAAACCTAATTGTTATTGCTATTGGACTAGGGCAAGAATAACAGACATAAATTGGGAGGTGGAAGAAAAGGGGAAAATGCAAGCATTATGTTATTGTGGCAGGAGCGCTGTAACGAAGACCTCTTGGTCAAATTTAAACCCTATAAGAAAGTTTATCAGTTGCGCAAAACATGGGGTAATTCGTTGATTAAGTTTCCCATAAAAGTTCTTTTATTTCCGTTTTTGTTCATAAGATTTTTGGTTTTCAATCAGCTGATCAAGTACAGATCCATATTCTTGAAATATTTGTTGATATTATATGTGATTTTTGTATTTAAAATTTCTATTTTTTTGTTAAAAATTGAACCAATTTTTTTTTTTTACAACAAACTGAAGTCAAAATGGCAGTATATTTCTCTATGTATTGTGTGATTTTCTAATTTGTTATCAATTATAAACTCATAGGTTGGTGGTCCATGTGGTTACTTTCTATGATTCGACCCCTCGATGTGTAACCGATCATGCCAAATTATACCCGATTTGTTGCATCGTGTTACCTGTTAAGAAGAACAGTTGAAGAGAAACAAAGTAAGGGGTAGAATGCTTTGGTTATACCTTGTTGGTTCTTGGTTTGTAATGGTGGTGTTGTATTGCTACATGGGTCATTATGAACTCACTCCAGATGGATTGGTTTCAAATGGAGACATAACGAATTTCTACTGGTTCAGATCTATTTTGGAAGCTAATGTGATCAAATCTACCACTAGATAATACATATTTTGGAAGCCAATTTGATCAAGTTGGAATTTATTAATCTCATAGTATCATAATCCTAAAGCCTTTAACATACTATCCAACTCAATCAATGAAATCTCATTAGCATGACTCATATCAATGTGATTGACCTTCGCACCAATATATGCTCTATCACACAAATGTTCCAATCTACCACCATGATGCAATCTAATAGTAAAATACTCAGAAGAATGATTTGTATGTACCACCAAATGACCAACAAGCTACACACTGTCAATATAATATACCCCACAATGCAAACACAATTGAAAAAAAAGTAACAAAATAACAACACACACAAACCTGTAGAGAAAAATTGTTTCCCACAATAGACCCACAAACATCCCAACAATGAACCCCACAATGCAAACACAATAGAAAAATAGTAATAAAATAACAAACACACAAACCCACATAAAAAAATTGGTCCCAACAATATACCCACAAACATACCAGGATGAACCCCATATTCCAAACACAATAGAAAAACAAACACACAAAAAAATGATTACCATAGCATGGTGCAT